AGCAAGATCACAGGATAACACAAGTCAGGTTTTAATGCTGCCACTGTCACCTCCAGAGTCCTCAGTCATTTCCCTGATATCAAAATGTAGGATAGATCAGGTTTCTCAAACTCAGCACTGTTGACCTTTGGGATGAATATTCTTTGTTTCATGTTAACATTACAACACTGACAACAAGCCTTACAATCCTCCTTTTACAAATGAGGAAGGCCTGGGAGGCCTTTGATAAAGGCTGGCAGCACAGCTGGGTGAGCCTGATGAGCGTTTTCCCCAATCTCATCTGTGCCACTTCACCAGCCGTGGGGAGCTGAGAGCCAGCCTTCCTCCCTAGCCCAGTGTGCTGGCAAAATCACATTTGTGTGAGAAGCTGAGACATGCTAATCAATCATTTTTGTCATTTGGGCCAAAATATCATAATATGAGCTGGTCTTACCTGGTTTAAGACCATGGCTTCCTCTGTGCTGCAAGTTCTGCATCACTCCAAATCTCATTACAGTCGGTCAAGAGATTGACTCTTTCTTGCCTCCCACCTGTGTTTTGGAAAGCTTCTCACGATCTCCTCGTGGTCTGTCCCCTTTAAGGCATGGTCAAGGCCTGAAAATGACAGCTCTGCACTCTTCAAAGCACTGTTTAAGCTCACTTGCTCTTTCAGTCCTCACAACAGTCTAGCAGGCAGGTATGATTATTCAAGCCTATTTTACAGTTGAAAAGACTGAGGTTCAGAGGAGCTAAGTGGCTTGTCTGAGAAAATAGGGGAAGCAGAGGGGATTGGCCAGCCCCGCACTGTTATACACAGTTTCTAAATAATCAGGTGTAGGCTGAGGAGGGGATTGCCTGCCATTGCCCCAGAGCAGGAAGTCAGGCCAGCCTCCGTGGGAGCAAGGATAAAGCAGCGCCCTGGAGGATGTCATGCAGCCAAGGGACCACTAGAAATACGCCACCTTGTGGGAGGAAGAACTCAGGGCAAATGCACAGGCCAATTTAATATTCATTAGAGCGCCAAGGTTAGGACAATTGGCCGCACCCGGGACCAGACCTGGTCTCCACCCCCACTAGGATGTGTTGAGGATGGAGAGGTGAGGCGGGATGAGAAGTGAGCAAGCCACATCTGCTTCGACTCTGTGCTCCCAGGGTGGACGCGGGAGCTCGTCAGAACAACGGGCGCAGCCTGGCACGGCTGTTCTCATACCCTTCCCCGCAACAACCAGGGCTCAATCTCAGGAAAGACACCCTTGGTCTCACTCTCAGACTGTCACAGAAGCACAGTAGAGAGCTCTGCTGCCTTCTTCCCTGCTAAAAGGTGTGTGTGGGTGGGGAGGGGCAACGTCAGGATGGAAGAGAGGAGGCAGGGCCAGGATGTGTGAGTTTCTCATGGGCCGCACTGGAGCAAGCTGACCTGAGGCTAATTTCATCTCTGGGCATGAGATTGTCCCTTCCTCTGTTGGGTCCTCTTAGGGTTTCCCTCCAGTGTGGCCACACAGGTATCCTTGCCCTGACACTGGGGGGAGTGCAGCTCACTCTTGTTCCCTTCCTGTCACTGCCCTGCTGCCTCAGGCTGATCCAACCCAGTTTCTCAAGCAGCTCTTGGTTTTGGTTTCTGAGTGGTCCACGTGAAGATCTCCCTCCAATGGCCTGGTGGGGGAGAACCCTCCCCCCGCAACACACACACACAATCTCCTCTCTCTCTCTCTTTCTCTCTCTCTCTCCCCCCTCCTCTTTGTCAGCAGTATGTACAGCTTGCTAGCTTCACAGAAATCCTCTCTCTCCAATCTCTCAAACTCTATATTTCAATCCTTTGTTCCCTTGAGGTAGGTGATGAGCTACAGGTGGCAAAATCAGTTTCCAGCCACCCCCTCCACAAGCCTTGCATAGGTGACTTAGCACCTCACTTTGCAGTGGGGAAATGTTTGCACTTGCTGTTTAGTACTCACCTGTGAGGCATAAGAAAGAATCCCACTTTAGCCTCCTGTCCTAGGAGCTGAGGCAACAGGCAGGCCTATGCGCCTCCTTCCCACGGTGTTCATCTTCGGCCCCAAGCTCTCCATATCATCTTCCCAACCAGCACAACTAGATTTCAATCGTACCTTCTAGCAATCTGACCCAATTGCATAAGAGATGGTTCACTTGGTGAATAGATGTGTGATTTAAAGAGTTCAGCTTAAGATTCTTATGTTGGAATCAAGCAGTCTTGTCGTAAGCCTCTCTCTCTCACTAAAGGGCTGTGGGACCATAAACCTGTCAGTTACCCTACCTGTGCTTGTGTTAATCTGCTCTTAAACAAAGAGCTTGAATATTGTTTTTCTAATTTTATTGGGGAATTAGGAAAGGGAACAGTGTTGGGGAACAGGGGAAGGGGAACATTGTATTTTCCCAGAACCCATCAGCTCCAAGTCAAGTTGTTGTCCTTTAGTCTTAGTTGTGGATGTCACAAGCTCAGCCCTAAGTCCAGTCACCACTTTTAATCTATTTGCGGGGGAGTCTATGGGGGTGTATAGTCCACCTTCCCATGCGGGAGTCAAACTGGCAGCCTTGTTGCACACTGAGCCATCTGGCATCCATCCTGCTCAGCTCAAGGTGCCGTGTTCAATCTTTAGTGGTGGGCATGAGGGGGGTGGAGGGGGTAGGCGAGGTGGCGGGGGGTGGTGTGTGCTGTCCACCATCCCATGTGGGAGTCGAACTGGCAACCTTGTTGTTAAGAGCACATACTCCTACCAGCTGAGCCATCCAGCCACCCGCTGGCTTCTCAGCGGCAGCTCAGCTCAGGCACAGCTCACTGGCCCATGTGGGAATCGAACCGGCAACACAATTGCTCAGAGCTCATGCTCTACCCAACTGCACCACCCAGCCGGCCCCAAGACCTTGAATTTGATGGTACCCCACAGTCCTTCCAGCTCTAGGATGCTGAATTGGTCTGGGGCATTGTTCAAGGCCGGGGCCCAGCCAGTTCTAGGGCAGAGGTGATGCCAAAAACCCTTTGTCAGGGCCTAATATTTCTACCCCAATCAGTGCACTGCTTTGTTTCGGGTGACAAAGTTATCATAGGATCTGTCTCCTGCCTTAAGGACAAGTACTTCCCCCAGTTCAGGACACACAGAAATCAAAAGGGCAGGCCCCTGGGCCTGGAGGCCCCAAACTGATGTCAAACCTTGGCAGGTCCAGGAAGTTGTATGTTCCAAATTGCCTATTCCCAGGATCTAAAACAGGCAGCAAGTAGAATGGTTTCTAGGCTCCCCCTCAACTAAAGATAAAAATGTCAGGCCCAGGGATGTTCCCAGTCATAAATCAATCCGCTAGGACTATTTCTGTCCTTATCCCGGGCGCGGGGCTCCTCCTATGACTTCCATCCATCCTGTCCTCCCCACGCTGGTCTCCCAGGCACCTCAGCTCTGAACTAGGAGAGGGTCATCCTCTGCCTTTGGATAGCAGTTCAGCAGCTTGGCCACACCAACATCAGAATGCTGCCCCTGCCTGCGGGTGAACAGATAGGCATTCTGGTGCCTCCACCAGCCTCTGTGAGTCTGCTTAGCATGACCTGTCGGCTGATCAACTCCGGGAACACGCCAGGTTTCCGGGCCTGCATGGCCAAGCCGAGTGCATAGGCTGTGCTGGTTTTCCAGGAGTAAACCTCCCTGAGCAAGCCTCCTGCCTGGCTTCTCCTTCATGTTGTTCCAGAGATTCAAGTCCCAGCTCTTAAAGCCACTGGGAGGAGTAAATGAGACCCTGGTAGCAAAGAACTAAATTTGGCACCTGGCAAGTTGCAGACACTCATAGAATTAGACTTGCCCCCATCTCCCCGCTAGCCATTGTCAGGAGCTCAGACTCCCACAGTTGACCCATATCTTCAGAAAGCTCCCTTGAGGAGTTTTTGTCAGTCTGATAACCTAAGTCAGCCTCAAATCCATTCTTGGGGAGACCTTTGAAGACATTTGGTATACTCTGAGATCCTAAATTTGTTCTCTAGTAACTAACCACTGATGGTGATGCTGGGCCAGCAGACTGTGGTCTCATATTCAGTCTC